TCCCATTGATTTAGCTTGGAAAGCGGGGAGAATGGCGCTAGGCTTACCGCACCGTGACGTCACTGCTGGAAGATGGCAGGAGGGAGGGGCTACTAGATTTGGGCAAAGATGGCCGCTCCCAGACTCAGTGATAGCAACGAAAATGATCATTTTTTTATTTTTTTTTACTGATTAACAATAAATTCAATAAATCACTGCAAACGTATTAGTTTTAGGTATAAATAATGATCCATTGGTTATTCCTGCTGACCAGACTTCTCCTTTAAGGACTCCCTCCTCTCTATGACTCATTGAGATCCTGTCCATGACCACCCAAACAGTCCAGTTCAAACTGGGAACCAGTTCAGCCTGCTATCTATAATGGGCAGCCCACACAATTATTTTGTTTCTCCATATTTTTAGACTTTATTATCATTTTGTACACAGAGTGCATACAAAAAGAATTTCGTTCAGTACAGCTCTCGAGAGATTTCTGTTTTGTTTTAACATTTTTCCTGTCCGTCCATCGCAGCCTGATGAGGTCTGGTCCACACCAGCTGGACCAGTCTAAAGGTTTCCCTTTTCTTAAAACTGGGACCACCATCCAGTCCTCCCGACAGTGTCCAAAACCTGGAGGACGTCCACCTGGGAGTGACCAATGGACATGAGAGGATTCAGGAGATCCTCACTGATCATCATCATCACGCGGAGAACTTCCTGACCGTCTTTCCTCCTAAAGACTCAGAGTCTGCTATACTTTAGGCGTCCAACAGAAAGATCTTCTTCTTCTGGTTTCCTTAGATTTAGTTTCAGTTTCCGATCAGTAAAATCCGTTAATGTTTGACTGGAAGGAGAATGTTGAAGAGTTCAGGTTTTCTGCTCATAGAACGTTAACAGAGGCTGCTGGTCTTCCTCCCAACATCTTATTGGGAATTTGTTTCTTATAGAAGATTAATTTATGTTCTTAGTGTGTATATCTGTGACATCCTGCATCCAGTTCCATGCTAGGACGGCTGCCTGCTTCATCTCTGTGGACATCCTGTGTTGACATGGCGACGCCTTAACTGTTGGTTTATCATCTGTGTTTTAGTTGGAAGTAGGGGCTCCTTGCAGGTTCCTGATATTTTAGAAACTTAGCCTACGGCCTTCTATGTGCTTATTATCAATGATTTTCTTATACTTGACTGTAATAAATCTGTTAATACCTAAAGACGCGAACTTTCACTCACTAACGAAGAAGCAGGTAAAAACAATCTCCTCACAGCCGTTCAGGGATCCGTACCTGCTGAGTTTCAGCTGCGTCAGCTTCACTTCCATCTTTTCCACCACAGCCGGCAAAGGGAGCGTTTCTATCGGTCGCAGAGCGAAGCTGTTTCCCACAGTGATCAATCCCAAGTCCACCACCAGGGCATTCTGGGAAGTGGAGGACTGAGGGATGATGATGATGGGCGCCTTCAGCTTGATGTCCATGGAGAGACGGAAGCTCTTCTGGGCAAAGTCCCGGACGCTGGACGCTGCTCTCTCTGCAGCCTGAGAAGTTGCGGCGCTCAGAGCTTCTTTAGCCGTCTGAAAGTTGTCGACGAACATCTGGAACAAACATGGACGACATCGTGATTGGCTAAAAGCCGACCACAGGTGCTGATGAAGCATTCAGAAGGGAATCTGTTTCATAAATATGATCGCAGCGATATGAACCTTTCCAAAACAGCTCAGACTTTAAACCTGAGCCTTAAATCTCTACATAAAAACGAATGATTGAGATTAAAGTTCAAACATCTGAATGTTTCCAGGTTGCTGCCAAAGAAAGAGCTGTTTGAAGATTCATATCGAATGTTTAACATTTAGGAAACCAGATAAAAAGGACAGAAACATTGTGGGTCAGGGAGTGAGGTCGTTCAGGCAGTGGTCATGTGACTGACGTGGCATGGCAGTGAGGTTAATGATGACAGGTCAGTGAGTTGCATAGCAGATATGTTGAGAAAAACTAGACCCTGACGCTCTCGGCATCAGGCCTTCATTTATCGCTCCACCTGCTTCTGCTCCAGTCATCAGAGCCTTCAGGTTGGACACCTCAGGAGGTTTGGAGGCTCCAGATCCTGAGTTCATCTAAGGGTCCAAATCTGGGCTGGTTTAAATCTGATCTATCTGATCGAATTCAGTTTGTTCATGTTAA